CCATTTTTTGCATCAGTTGTAAAAATTTTATTTTATCCTTCAACTAGCTAACAAATGTATCTTGTTCCCAATCCTTACCTTTTCCATAAGACTCATGAAAGATTAACAACAACAACAATAACAATATACACTTTTGTAAATTATAATTATTGAAGTGAAAAAGACACTAAATGAAATGATGCGATGGGTGTTAGATTTAATGAAATTTCAATAAAAATGTGGACAAGTATGGAAGGTGTAAATTTTTTATGACTAAATTATTTAATAAATAATGAAAAAAATATATCTAATAAAGAAAGAGTAATGTAGTGCCTAAATTTAAAAACAAATGTGATATACAAAATTGTAATAACTAGCACGGGACTAAACTTAGAATCAACATTATGAAATATTAAAAAAGAATATTAGAAAATCAATTTGAGTTTATGATATGAAGATTAACCATAGAAGCTATCTTTCTTTTACGATGGTGGATGGAAAAGTTTAGAGGAAAAAAGAGATATATTCATAAAGTGTTCATTGATCTAGAGAAAACATATGATAGGATTCCTATAAATATAATATGGTGGGTCTTAGAAAAGAATTGGATTTCAAATAAATATGTACCTTATTAAAGATATATATATATATATATATATATATATATGAAGTAACCAATGTCATAAAACCTATTGTATAGACATTAGATTTTACAATTACGATGGGTTTTCAACAAAGTTTAGCATTTAGCCATTATTTATTTGCATTGGTTATTGATGAATTGACTAAACATATTTAGTATGAGGTCATATGGTGCATGTTCTTTGTTAATGACATTGTTTTAATTAATGAATCCATTGAAGTATTAAATGCAAAATTAAGCTCGTGGGAAAATGGCTTAGAACCAATAGATTAGAATAAGTAAGCTATAATAGAATGTATTATATATATATACAGAGATAGAGAGAGAGGGAGAGAGTGAGAAATTTAATGATAATAGAAGTGCAAATCAGAGTACACTTGGAGATCAAAAGATACTCAGTGTGACACATTAGTTCAATAATTCACAACAATGGAGTAATTGAGGGGGATGTCGTCCATGAAATTAGAGCATGATGGGCAAAAAAATGAGGTGCATTTGAAATTTTTTATGTAATAAGCAAATACCACCTCAATTAATAGGAAAAATCTATAAAATAGTTATAAAGCCAATCATGCTATTTGGGGCAAAAATACACATGTTGATGTTGGATGAATTTAAAAAGTAAAAGGGATATGATTAGAAATGAAGTCATTCAAAGCAATATAAATAAGAAGTCCATCAACAACACCCGTAAGAAGAAGTTATTTATTTAAGTTGAAGATGCTATAAATGCTATTGTTAAACAAAAAGAACATGAATAGAAATAAGGATAAATCTCTTAAACCACCCTTGTTCACGAAATTGACAAACTGTTTAAATGTTGTCTTATTCTACCCTTAAATTTTCTGACAATGTTTAAAACCTCCCTTCCCATTAATTTTTCATCGCATTCTGTTCACATGTGACATAGTGATAATTATTTTAAACTATTAAATTACCCTTATTGTTCACTGCCGCTGTGTTGGAAGTTACAGCAGTGGCCATGATTTTGGTATCATCGTCGTAGGCGCGGCCACTACAACTTCTTAACGGCAAAATTTTGGTGAGAATGAAGTGAAGAAGGTCAAAGGAACTAGTCCCAGTATCTTCCACTGGTTTCTTGGGTGATTTGATCTGCTTTATGCTACCATCTCCAAATCGGTATCTTCAAATCAAAGAAAATGATTTAATCAGCCCCAACAAAACACAATGGCTATATCGGACCACTGGCGGAGATTATCTTGCTGACGGAAATAGTTGAGGAGATTCATGTAGGCGGGACTGCTCCTGTACAGCTCATGCTTTTAGTAATTTTAGTGATGGGTTTACATTTTTCTATGTATGCAGGCGGGACTGCTCCTGAACGGCTCTTGCTTTTAGTAATTTTAGTGATGGATTTACACTTCTCTTGTATGATTTGGGTTGCGGACTTCATGGTCGTGACTGACCATGTTCAATGCTAGTATTGACATTGGGGATGAAGAGGTAGTGGAGGGCATCGATGCTAGCGTAGTGGAGGAGGAAGATGGCGTCAGCGGTGGAGGGGTTGGAGGTGAGGCAAGGGTAATGGCTTCAAATCTGCGGTAGAGCGGGAATGTCGACGGCCGTGAGAGAGAAGAGGAAGGGGAGAAAGAGGGAAAAGAGAAGGGAGAGAAAAGAGGGAAAAGAGAAGGGAGAGAAAAGAGGGCTTCGCCACTGAAACCGCCACTACCAACCTTCGCCGCTAGAACCTCCGGTGCCCAGTCGGAAATGCCACTGCCAACCTTCACCGCTCTCTATGACAATCAGTGCTCTTCTTCCGATGCTCTGTATCTTTTTCCAGCAGGCTTCAGCAGTTGGATTCCTTCTTCCCCTCCGCTCTATATTTTCTGGTGCTCTGTATCTACTGAGAGATACAAAGGAATGGTGAAGAGAAATCAAATGCATGTCCTAAGCAGGTGGTGTGCCACTGCCAAAGAATTGATGAAGAGAAATTAAATGCATTTCGTAAGAGTACGGCGAATGCAGTTCCAACTAAGAAGGCACAAAGATGGAAGACATTATGGCCAGAAAACGGTGAGACATTGTCGTCGCTGGATATTCGCTATAACTGTGGAGGCTATATTAAGCTAGGAACTTGGCAATGGTGTTAAGTGGCATGGGTTTGTAATTAAATTGTTGAATTGGGTGTAAAAATCAAAACCAAGGATGGTTTCTTTCTTTCATAAGAATCTAGAAGTAGTGACCGCCGGTGAGATTTAGTGTGGTTTTGCCACCAAATTATTGTACACATCGTTGCATACATCTCACCATTTCTTTACAAGCATTGTTAAGAAGAAGAGAAACTCAATTAACAAAAGTACAAAACATCAACCCACGAGCAATCAAGCAAGAAATGATTGAATGAAACGACAGCGTTAGAGGTCACCGCTCGTTGTTTAACTTTATTTTCTTGATTTTTTTTGGTTTTTTAAATTTTAATCTCCAGCCTTTAATTACTAATACATTTTTCTATTGTTGATGGTGTAACTTTTTCTTCAACTTCGGTCTAGATTGAAGTTAGTGCAGGTAGTTGGTAGCTGGTGTTAACTTTTTCTTCAACACCTACAAAAAAAGCCTACAAAACCATTCTTGTATTGCTACGATCATTTGAGTTCAGCTCTGTTTCTCTTCTCCAAAATTGATGCACTTGAGACAGACAACTATGTTTTCAGGCTCTGGGAGGTATTGAAACTCGGTGGCGGCAGAGCTGGTGGAGGTATCAGAACTCAGCACTATTGCTACTGAGGGCTTGGTGGCAGGTGCACACTTGGGCGAGGTGTAGGATGAACAACTCTCGGAATAAAGAGGTATGTATTTCTTTTTCAAGCAAAACTTTGAAAAAATTGGAAGGTTTTCATCAGATGAGTTTTATTTTGAAAATTTTATAAATAGTGAAGGGTAATTTCGACATTTTGTTTCCTTTCGTTAGCACTTAATAACAATGTCAATTGTTAGAAAATTTAAGGGTAACATAATACAATATCTAAACAGTAAGGATACAGTTTGTCAATTTCGTGAACAATAGGGGTAGTTTAAGAGATTTAAGAAATGATTTAAGTGCTAATAATTTAGGGGATGTTTGGAACCGTGGCCATTTAAAAAAAAACGGTGCCATATCAAATCCACATATGCATTTCAACAAACGCCCATGTATCTCATTGTTTGGTTCAGTCGATTATTCAAAAATTGGACATGCCTCGGAAATCGGGACCACCGTTTCCCCCAACAGTTGATTGATGTGTATCCTATGTGGTGCTTACCTGTCAGTACATACATGAAAAACGGTGATGAAAATCACCTTACCAATCAACATAGTGTTGCTCACTGCGTATATGGCAGAAGCGTTTTTTTTGTGAAAAAGAGTCTTGGAAGCATGAGCGCTTTTCTTGAAAATCAGTCCCAAAAAGCGTCTACGCTTCCAAACACCATGTTAATAATTGATACGACAATAACTATAACAATTTGGCAAAACATGCTAACCCCACGTAATTGGGATAATGTTTGGAATTTTGGATGATGATGGTGATTATGATAGTTTTCATAGGTGATGTTTGGCATCGGTAATGATTTATCCTTGTTGATTTTCTAGAATCAATGATTTTTGAAAAATCATCAAAATTTGTTGTTTGGTAATCAGCTTTGAATATATTTGGTATTGATTTTCAAAGGTTGATTATTTTTGTATTAAAATGCCATGCCCTCCTCAAAGGTGATCCTGAAAAGGGTTAATTTCAATAATCGATTTTGGGAAAATCGGCCAATCAAACAAGAAAAAAATCCCTGATTTTTTAAATTCTCATGCCAATCCTAGGTGATGTCGATTTACAAGAAATCACCATTAATGAATGCCAAACAGCATCATAATATTAGCTGATAGAATAACAATGGGGTAATTTGATAATTGCACTTTCACCTTTGATTTGGTAACTCCGTATCTGATCATCGGCAAAGTGATGGAATCTGATTTGAACATAGGGTATTTATCGTAAAATTATGTTCAGGAAAGGGAACTAAGTGTAATGAACCCTAATAATAGGTGGGTATCTGTAATTTATGCCAAAAGAATAACAATTCACTCGTCATGGTATATGCCCAAATCCCAATTGCCCATCCACGAAGATTACAGTCGTCTTTCCAAGTGGCCAAATTAGTTCCCTCTTTTACCAACACGTCAACCCATAACACTAGTAAAAATGCAAGTGTTTGAGGGCATTTGCACAAGTAGGACCTGCCAACCCCAAAGGACGACAGACCAAACTGCAGAGTGCAGAGATAGAGGCCCATATTGGTTTTATATTATTTAATTAGTAAATAATTAACATTAATTATCATTTTTTGAATACTAATAATTGTTTTTTCGGCGCTGGTTGCTCGAAAATGCAGATTTAAATGTAAAAAAAAAAACAAGAAAAAAAACGAAGGAAAAGAAAAACGAATGTTGAGGTGGGATTGTTGTTCTTGTTGCTTCTGGTTTTAATGGGGATGGAATCCAGAGGCGACGAGGTTCAATCCATGCTCCTTTACGAGAAAACCTGCGAAAGGTTCTTCCATCTTGAGATCGGACCTTTCCTTTGATCTGTAAGTCTGTCGAGGTTCTTTTTTTTATTATTATTTTGAATTTGTGTTTTTTTTTTTGGCATTTTGGACCAATGCGTGTCTATGTCCTTCAAAATTTGGGGTTTGAGAACTAGGGCTTATGCCGGAGTACAGGTTTCGGGAGTTCTAGGGTTTTTGTTGAAGATGCAGATCTTTGCATCTGGTGGTTTGATTCGTGAGCTTTGCTGTGGAAAATTGTTTAGGGTTTCTTAAATGGGCTGTGGGTTTTCGAGTTGGGATTTGGAGCTGGTTACTGGTTTACAGGGTTTTGCTAGGTGTTTTGTCTCCATGTAGAGATTACATAATTCCGAATTGTTCGTTTCGCTGTATTGAGCACCAAGAGATTGAATTTGAGAGCTTTTCATTTCTCAGTGACTTGAAATGGAAATGTGGATGAGTGAGTGGGTGTTGTTCTGTTTGAATGGTTTTTAAATGAAACACACAGGACCCTTTTCTATTTCGCTTTGCTTTTTGTTTGTAGTTATGTTATTGTTTTGCGCCATTGTGTCGATCTTTTCAGGTGTCCTAAGCTCTTCTTTCTAGTGCCTGCCTGTGGATTGGCAGTGGTTTGAATAATGGCAGACTCTGTCGATGTCATTTTGGATTTCTTGCGAAGCAATAAGTTTACGAGGGCCGAGGCTGCTTTGCGTGGGGAGCTCAGTAGTCGCTTGAATTTGAATGGATCCCTTCAGAATCTCATCTTGGAAGAGAAGGATGCAGGAAATGCATTGGAAGAAGAGAAGAAGGACAAGCCAGATGCGAAACACCAAGGAACAGGTGCCAGGAACAGTGGTGAACTTTCTAAGGAACTTATTGTAAAGGAGATTGAATGCGGAACTGCCAGAAATGGGTCTGGGACTAATTGGAGAACTACTGCTTCTCTGGAGGAGAGGAATGGGCCTAGTGAATCTGCTGGGACAAGTGACAGGGGCTTCTCTTTTGCTCAAGCTTCTGGGGAAACTCCAACAAATATGTACTCATGGAAAATTAATCTGGACAATGGTCAAGCCAACCCATTTGAGAAGGATGGTATTATTACTAGTAACTTTTCGGAGCTTCAAATATCTGAACATTTGAAGTATCGCTCTCAGGTTTCTGACAAGGGGAACTTGATTATTGGGACAGTGAAATATGGAGAAAGCTATGGAACAGAGTTAGGTTTGTCAGGAGAACAAAGGACATCATGGCTTGGAAGTACAAGTAAAGCCAATGCTGACCTCAAGTATGAAAGGAATCAGATGAATGATGGCAAAGCACTTGATAAGCAACCTAGGCCTATTTGTATGTTCTTCAAAGATAACTTGGAGGAGAAACTAATGTCAAAAAAAGAGGAACCACTACAATGTTCTGTTGATCCACTGAAAGAATGCTCTATCAAGAATGTTTTTCCATTCTCCAAGGGAGATGCATTGACTAGTTATGATAATGTTCTTTGTTCTGGTGATAATAAAAAGGAAGGAAAGAGGAAAATAGAGTCCAATGATGTCAGGGCAGCATTGAAGGAACAGGTAGATGAGGTTGGAAGATCTATATTTTTTGGTAAATCCCAAGGAAGTGCAGAGCAAAATGATATCTGTAGCTTAGATTTGTCATTTGTTATGGAGAACCATAATGAAGGGTTACCAAGGTTGCCACCTGTTAAACTCAAGTCAGAGGACAAGTCAGTGAATATTCAGTGGGAGGAAAAGTTTGATCACCATGGACCTGGAGAAAATCTTACCAATGCAGATAATACTTTCTTGATAGGATCATTTCTGGATGTTCCAGTTGGACAAGAAATCAACTCTTCAGGTTCGTTCTTGAATGTTGTCATGTCATAGTCTTTAGTCATTTAGTAGTTCATGTATTTATTGCCTCAAATGTGCTAATCTAGAAGTAACCTGAATTAGAATATATCATATTGTTGTACATAAGTGGTTTTGGTAATGTCATTTCCTTGATTCCTTCTTATTTGCTCCTCCTTATCTATTATTAATATTGTTTTTCTTGTTCTTGTTCTTCTTGCTTGTCATGTCTTCAGTGTTTGTTGATCTGTGCATTTTTAAACTTCATCATCATAGAAAAATCTTGAACCTTTTCATGTTAGTGTTGATATACATTTTCTCATACATCTCCTTTCCTTATCATAACCTATTTTGAAACCTATCAAGTATCAAGGCATAAATTTTGACTAGTGGTATAATTGTCTATTCCTTGTATTTTAGTAAATAAAAAAAGTCAACTGGCTTCTTAATGTCGTGCTAGGTTGGCTGCACCTTTTTAAAAATCCAAAGCTGATCCTTGCATATGTGGTCATCCTGGTCAATTATTGCTTCATCACCATATTCATGAGGGTAGGTTTTTGGTGCCTGGGGTGAACATCTTGTCCAAATGTCTTCCAAGATCAGTCATCACTGTGGCTGATTCTTTTGTTAGATACTTAGATAAGGCAAGGTTTAAAGTGCCAGTTTTGATGGATTTTTTTGATAATTAACATAAACTTTTATTAATAAAAAAGGGAGAAAGTACAAAATAAAAGAGGGAGGGGTAAAACCTCTTTAACCCTCCCTTAGACTAAACTTCATATTACAACATTGCCCAAAAAAGACCGACTCTTCCCACCCCTTGTTTGGCAAGTGAGTACGCAAAAGAATTAGCACTCCTCTTAATCCACTGAAACTTAATTTCCATGTCCTGGGTTATCTGTTTAAATGTCTTTTTCTCATTTAAGAACTTCCAAAACCCGACCTCTTCCTTCTGCAACCAACTAATAACCAGCCTTGAATCACCTTCCACCATCAATTTTCTGATACTCAGCTGCTGTGTTCTCTTTACCCCTTCCAAAACCGCCAAGATTTCATCTCCCAGGGAATCCCCACTTCCAATAGGACCAGAATACAAAGCAATAAATAATTCACCCTTCCTCATCCCTGAATACTCCTCCTGTACCTGAAGGGCCTGGGTTTCCTTCACTACTACCATCAAAATTCAATTTGGTAAATCCCAGAGCCAGAGGGGACCAAACTGGAATACTGGATTAGGAATAGTTTTAATAGGAGCCGAATATGCCACTTCTTGCCAATGCTTATAATATCTCCTGCTCAAAAATCTTCAAATAGCTTCATAGTCTTAACCCAATGAGCCTCCCTAACAGTTATTGTTTCAGTAATGACATCCTTATTTCTTTCTTTTTCATACTCCCAAACTGTCCAACAGATAGCTGCTCTTACACATCTCCAGAGTATTTTACCTCTCCTCTTTGACCCTCTAATTGAAGTAGAATTAAACAAGCTCTGCACATTTGGAGGGGAGGTTCACACGCAACCAAATAGAGAGAGAAGCATACTCCAGATCTCTGAAACAAAAGGGTAGGATATCAATAAGTGATAGCATCTCTCACTGTAATCCTTAGAGGGTGTATTCTTTGACCCCTCTAAAGTTGATGGTAGAATTTGGACCCTTTCCTCTCCTAGAACTTCTACTTGTGCATCTTTCTTTGACACTTTAGTCTCTCTTCCTACTCCTTCTCATACCCTTCTTGTTAGAGAAATTTGGAGTAGACCTATGCAGTGATTTAAAAGATGTGCCTAGGTGCACAAGTGAAGTGTATTTTAAGGGTTGTGCCTTGCCTAGGCCCCAAGTGCAGCACTTTCAAAAGGTGTGCGCCTGGTGCACCTTGCACATCAGCCCAGACATGTGCCTTAGTAAAAATGGCTTACAGAAGAAGAAGAAGGACATCAAAACAAAGAAAAGGAAAATGTGTGAAGTTGAGAGACTGAAAAGAGATGTGGAAGGTGATAAGAGCTTCGGGTGAAAGGAGATAGAAGAAAAGGGGGGAAGTAGTGGTGAGGAGTAGTAGGGAGATAAGGAAAAGGTGACTATGAAGATACTTAGCTGGAAAGTGAGGGGTATAGGAAGTGTGAGGAAGAGAGCTACGATCAAAGAGGTAATTAAGAAGCATGGCCCAAACATTGTTTTAATACAGGAATCCAAGAGAATGGAGTTTAATGATAGATGAGCAAGGAGTGTTTGGAAAGCTAGGGGGATTATCTGGGTGGCTACTCCCTCTTGGGGTGCCTCAGGGGGGATAGTGACAATGTGGAAGAGGGATGTAGTTTTAGGCATGGAGGAATTGATTGGAAAGTACTCAGTATCATTGAAGTTCCAGCAACAGGAGGATGGTTTTGTGTGGGTGCTCACAAATGTTTATGGACCAAATGACTATAGAAAGAGAAAGGAATTGTGGGAGGAGCTGGCTGATATCAGAGGGCTTTGGGATGGGCCCCGGTGTGTCGGTGGGGACTTTAATGTCATAAGATTTAAGGAAGAAACCAATAATACCAATCAAAGGGTGACAACTAGTATGAGGAAGTTTAACCGGTTTGTGGATGCATTTGAACTTAAAGAGATTCCCTGAGCCCATAAGACATTCACCTGGTCAAATCTCCAAGCAAATCCCATCTTCTCCAAGCTGGATAGGTTCCTATTCTCTCTGGATTGGGAGGAACATTGGGGGAACTTAGATTCTAGTGCTCTTCCTAGATTGACCTCTAACCACTGGCCTATTGTGATCTGTAAGGAGTAGAGGAGGAGTGGAGGACCTTCCCCATTTAGGTTTGAAAATATGTGGTTACTCCATTCGGGGTTCACTAAAAGAGTAAGGGAGTGGTGGAGTGAATGTAACCCAATGGTGGAATGGGAAGGAATGAGATTCCATAAAAAATTACAATTTCTGGAAGCAAAGATCAAGGAATGGAATCAATTGGAGTTTGGAAGGATTGAAGATAGAAAGAGAACTTTGATGGACCAAATTGTGAGCTTAGATGTGAAAGAAGAGGGGAGAGTTTGGGGAGGCAGACTAGGAGCAAAGAAGAAGTTTGAGAGGACAGTTAGAGGACTACTTACATAAGGAGGAAGTAAGCTGGAGGCAAAAATCTAGATGTAAGTGGCTGCAAGAGGGGGATAGGAATACCAAGTTTTTTCATTCTCTGGCTAATGGAAGGAGAAGGAGGAATTTTATCTCCAAACTGGAGGTGGATGGAGTTGAGTTGACACAACAAGATGAGATTGCAGGGGCCTTTGTTGGACATTTTAAATCTATCTTAAGGAGGCCTGTGAGTAGGGGGGTGTGGTTGGAAGGCTTGGACTGGCCAGATGTGGGGGTTGATAATAGGAGAAGATTGGAAAGAAGGTTTGAATTGGAAGAAATTAAGGAGGCTGTTTTCTCAACGGATAGAACAAAAGCTCTAGGTTCAGATGGTTTCACAATGGCCTTTTATCAAGATTGCTGGGATACTTTGAAAGATGATATGTTGTTGGTGTTTGAGGAATTTCATAGGTGAAGTGTGGTTAACCCGGGTGTGAATTCTACCTTTTTAGCTGTGGTTAAGAAAAAGAAAGATGCATCCCACCCAAAGGACTTTAGGCTAATCAGCTTGGTAAATAGTTTGTATAAGATCCTGGCTAAGGTGCTGTCTATGAGATTGAAGGGAGTATTGCCGGATATCATTTCACCAAATCAAGGAGCCTTTGTGAGTGGAAGACAAATTACCGGTCAGATCCTAATTGCTAATGAGAGTGTTGAGCATTTCAGAAAGGATGGGAAGAGGGGAGTGGTTTGTAAGTTGGATCTAAAAAAGGCTTATGACTTGGTAGAGTGGGACTTTTTGAGGAGAGTCATGTCCAAATTTGGATTTGGGGATAGATGGTGCAAGTGGATTATGGGGTGTGTTCGGAATTGTCATTATTTTGTACTAGTGAACGGGGCAGTGGTTGATTTCTTTCCAGCTATTAGGGGTATAAGACAAGGGGACCCCCTATCTCCTTTCTTGTTCACATTGATTCACGTTGATTGTTGATGTTTTGGGGAGACTGATTCACATAGATGACTCTAGGGGTCTCATTAGAGGATGGAGAGTTGGAAGGGAGGAAAGTCAGGAAAGCCCCCTCACCCACCTACAATTTGCAAATGATACAATCTTATTCTGTGAAGGAGGAAACCTGGGATATATTTGGAACATGAAATTGGTGGTTCTACTTTTCGAATGAATGTCAAATTTGAAGGTGAACTTTGAGAAAAGTTGTGTAGTGGGTGTGAATTTGGAGGAGCAAGAAACTAGGGAGAGTGTAGAAGTGCCAGGGTGTGTGGTCTCAGGATGGCCATTGAATTACTTGGGATTGCCTTTGGGTGACAATCCAAAGAGGGAGAGCTTTGGGAATTTGGTGGTGGAAAGATTTGAGAAAAGACTTGTAGCTTGGAAAAAGAATTATCTTTCTCTTGGAGGTAGGACAACATTGATTAAGGCTACTCTAGCAAATTTGCCCATAAATGATGACAAATTTTCTTTGGGAGCCGGAAGAGGAGAAGAGGGACCATAGGGTAAGCTGGAAGGTGGTGACTAGGAGTAAAAACTAATGGTGGGTTAGGGCTTGGGAATACTAGAGAAAGGAATTTGGTACTCTTGGGGAAATGGTTGTGGAGATTCCCACTAGAGAAGGATAAATTATGGGCCAAAGCATACATGGGCTGGAGATGAACGGATGGGATGCTGGAATTCTAGCTAGGACCACAAGTGCCTCGCCTTAGAAAGCCGTTCATGACTTATTACCAGTTTTCTCCCTTCTTATCAGGTATGGTTTGAACTCGGGCAATTCTATAAAATTCTGGGAACAAACATGGGTGGGAAATGCATCTCTTAAGGACCAGTTTCCTTCTTTGTATGCTCTTTTTGATTTTAAAAATGAGCCAGTTTCCTCTTTTTTGACCCCATCCTCTTCCATTTCTGGGTTTGGTTGGAATTTGGGTTTGAGAAGGGCTGTGAGAGACTCAAACCTAGACAGTATCTCATGTCTCCTCTCTATTCTTGATAATGTTTTCTTGAACCCTTTAAGGATGACTCTAGAATCTGGACCCCCACCCCTACTGGTTCTTTCTCCTATGTCTCTTTCTTTAAAGTACTAAGCCAGCCCACCATTCCTGTAAACCCCCCCTTCCCTATTAATGAGGTTTGGTGCAGGCCAATTCCTCCTAAGGTTGGTAGTTTTTGTTGGGAAGCCTTTTTGGAAAGAATCAACACTGGTGATTTGCTCCAAAAGAAGAGACCCAATATTTGTTTGTCCCCTCATTGGTGTGTTCTTTGTAAAGCTGATGGGGAGACTGGTTTTCATCTTTTGGTGTCTTGCCATTTTGCCAAGTCTATTTGGGAGTGGGCTTGCTCTCTTTTTGGTTGTACTTGGATTCCTCCTTCGAACTTGCAAGGCTATTTTGATCCTTCTTTTTTTAGGTGGTGTATGAAAAGGGGAAGGACTATGTTGAGAGGACTGAGGGCAGCAGTATGTTGGTCTTTGTTGGAAGAAAGAAATTCCAAAATTTTCTTTGATGTAGAGAGAGGTGCTGAAGAGTTGAGGGTGCTGATCCACATAAGGGTTATTTAGTGGATGAAGTTCCTAGCGCTTTTCACAGAATATACAGTGGATGATATGCTGAGGAAGTGGGGTGAGATTGCTAGTTGTACCCAGACTAAAGCTGGGTTGAGTGTGTCTTGGACTCCCCCACCTGCGGGCTTCATAAAACTAAACTTTGATGGAAGTAGCGTAGGGAACCCCGAACAATCAGGGATTGGGGGTGTCTTCAGGGATGAGAATGGGGTTGTTTCTGCCATGTTCTCAGACCCAATTGGAGTGGGTGACTCTCTCCAAGCTGAGATCCACGCAATTATGGAAGGTGTCCAGGAAGCTAGGGAGATGAATATCAGAAAACTTATAATTGAAGGAGACTCGGAGGTGGTGGTTGGGTGGCTGAACAAAGAAGAGAGTGATTTATAGAGTTATAGTAATTTGAAGAGGAAATTCAAATGGCTGGTTCGAGAGATGGAAGTTAAAACCAATTGGGTAAAAAGATCAGCTAATTCTTTTGCTGATGGGCTAGCTAAACAAGGGCTGGACAGGGATGTCATGTTTTGGGCACAAATGTAACTTATTTTTCATTCTTATGTTCTCTCTTCTCTCTTGTTTTTTCTATTGGGGCTCATAATGTAGTTGGAAGATAAGAAAGTTTGTCTTCCTCTTTGTAATTATTGTGATAATTAATGAATTGTGTTATTGATTATTTTTTTTTTGCACATTTTTGCTCTTTTTTAAGCCTAGTGGCTGGCTGGGGGCTCTTTGCTAATGTTATTCACTCATCCCCTTAATACAAGATATTTTTTAAAAGATAAAGAATAAGAATTTAAGATCCTAACATGATTTGTTTGGGCTTGTCTCAAGGGGCTTGGTACAAAGGCGGCTCATAGAATCAGGAATGCAAGATTTTTAACATCACATTTGCTATTTGAAGTAATGTGAAATAAAATAAAGAGATTGAAAGTTTCACATGCTTGAAGTAATGCAATTGGGAAAAAAAAGGCCCTCACTTTTTTTTTTTGTTTTAATACTTTTATACTTCAAGATGTTTAACATCACATTTGCTATTTGAAGTAATGTGAAATAAAATAAAGAGATTGAAAGTTTCACATGCTTGAATATGTTTGAAGTAATGCAATTGGGAAAAAAAAGGCCCTCACTTTTTTTTTTGTTTTAATACTTTTATACTTTACCTTTTCTAAAAAAATGTCATGTTTGCATTTTTACATTTTCACTTTGAATGTCTTTTATAGTCATGTTTATGTATTTTAATTTGGGATAATAGAATTTTCAAAACATTTATTTTAAAACTTAAGTTTATATCTTTAATTAATATTATGCTTAATATTTCTTTTTTTTTTTATTTTTTTTGCTTTTTTTGAATTCTTGCACCTTGCTTAAAAAAGGTATGTGCCTTGCCTTGCACCTTGCACCTTGGGCGTAAAATGCCCCTTGTGCTTTTAAAAAGTTGGACATATTCATAACATTTATTTTAAATCTTAAGTTTATATTTTTAATTAATATTATGGTTAATATTTCTTTTTTTTCTTTTTTCTTTTTGCATTTTTTGAATTCTTGCACCTTGCTTAAAAAAAGGCATGTGCCTTGCCTTGCACTCTGCACCTAGGGCGTAAAATGCCCCTAGTGCTTTTAAAAAGATGGACATATGCCACCCGAGGTGAGGGCCTTTGGTTTTTCCACCTAAGAATTAAAACTTGTGAGAATCTCCAAAGGTAAAGATCACAGTGGTGTTTATCTTCTCAAGTTTGTCTTTTGTGTCTTGCAAATGGGGAAGCCATGTACCACCTACTAATCTCTTGCCCTCTTATTACTGAAATTTGGGAATAGCTGTTTGCTTTGTTTGGTTTTAGGTGGACACTTCCAATGAATGTATCTGGCTTTTTTCTATCCAACTTTTTATATATTTGGAAGAAAAGAGCAAAAGTCCTTGGAGAAATACTAGAGCAGCCATCCTTTGGACGGACAGTATGGGATGAAAGAAATGGAAGATTATTCAACGACAATGCTCGATCAAAAGGTGACATTATTGATATAATCTCAGTAAGGGTACATTGGGCGGCAAACACGTTTACAGAAAGACCTTCCAACCTCAGCCCAATGGTAGTACCTGCCAGCAGAGAATGTGATGAAGATTAACTTTGATGGGTGCAACAAAAGTAATCCAAGACATGCTGGCATAGGAGGAACATTTAGAAATCCATATGGGGATATTCTGGCCATATTTTCAGGACCCATAGGCCAGGGTAACTCAATATTAGCAAGAGTAAGCAGTGTTGCTTGGACACAGACATGAGTAAGAATTGGACTCATGTCCAAGAGTCTGACTCTGCAAGATGAGAAGACATGGACTTGTGGACATTTCTATTTTTTGATTTCTAACGTTATTTACCTAGAAAGATGTTACCCTTGTTTCTAAGTGAAGTTTGATACCTCCAATGGATTCATCTTGTAGATTAGCAGTTATTTATGTCAAATAGGTTAGGGAATAAAAAGAAAATGTTATCTAGAAGTACTGATAAAAAATGTTATGTAGAAGTGGCCTCAAGAATATGGTGAGTGTTGGACACAGATGTGTGTATCTGATGTGACATGTCATCCATTTAGGCGAGTCCATGCAACACTGGGTTATAGTGGTCATGCAAGGGCTTAGAGTGGCTAAATTTTGCAATTTTAGTATCTGATAATAGAAGGAGATTCTAGCGATTATTGTGATCTTTAAAGATAAGAGTCCATCACTTCTGTAATCACTTTTTTTTTTAATTTTTTTTTTTTAATTTTTTTAGCTTAACTATGGTTACTTGCAGAGATTTGTAGTTTTCCTCAAAAAATGTCATGCTTTCATTTCACAATCTAGTGCTATTTGCCTTTCAATTATCAACAAAAAAAATGTAGTGCTATTTTCGGTTTTTTTCTTCTAACCTTGCATTTGATATCTTATCTTGGAAGTGATGATAACAGGCGGAAAGAGGGCTTTGGGAAGTAGTTGGCTATCTGTAAGTCAGGGCATTGCCGAGGATGCTTCTGATTTGGTTTCGGGTTTTGCAACGGTGGGTGATGGATTGAGTGAATCTGTTGACTATCCAAATGAATATTGGGACTCTGATGAATATGATGATGATGATGATGTTGGATACATGAGGCAACCAATTGAAGATGAGACTTGGTTTCTTGCTCATGAAATTGATTACCCAAGTGACAATGAAAAAGGAACAGGGCATGGGAGCATTCAAGACCAGCGGGAAAGAGGTCCAACAAAAGTTGAAGATGATGACCAATCTTTTGCTGAGGATGACTCTTATTTCTCTGGTGAGCAGTATTTTCAGTCAAAAAATATTGACCAAGTTCCTATTTCCAATGATCCTATAGGGCTTTCAATGGCTGAAATGTATGGGAGGAATGATGAAAATGATATAATTGCCCAATGTGATGGGCAATTGATGGATGAAGAAGAATTAAGTTTGATGCGCTCAGAACCTGTATGGCAGGGTTTTGTCACTCGGACAAATGAACTTGTTATGTTGGGTAATGGGAGAGTTTTGAATGAGTGTGAAAGAACTCGACCGGATGATCTCTGCATGGATGATGACCAGCATGGTTCTGTTAGATCAATTGGTGTGGGGATCAACAGTGATGCTGCTGATATTGGCAGTGAAGTACGGGAAAGTTTAATTGGAGGAAGCAGTGAAGGGGACTTGGAATACTTCCGTGATCAAGATGTTGGTATTGGTGTGTCCAGTTATTCTCAACATGACACAGATAAGAGAAAGGCAAGTAAGCAGGATTCTGATAAATATGTTATGGGGAATGAAAAAGGAGCTTCTCGAATTGTGCAAAATTATTCTGATGGTGGATTTTCTTTCCCACTCCCTTTGAGAGATGGGGGCTCAAACTCTGGCAAATCTTTATGGTCTACCAAGTGTAATGCTGTAACTGGTGATGAAGCTGATGATTGCGGGAATGGTCTGATGGAAAGTGATGAGATGCTTGCTTCATGGAGGCGGAAGGGCAATGCTTCTTCATCTGACAAGAGTTCACAGGATAGAAATAATGATAATGCCATTATATCAGCAAACTCTACTTCTTCAACACTCTCAAACTATGGTTATGCTGAAGGGATGCATGTTAAGGAAGGGGAGGATGACAAAATTAGTGATGCAGGAGAAGAAGATCCAGGGACAACACTGGAGGATGAAGAAGCAGCAGCTGTGCAGGAGCAAGTAAGGCAGATAAAAGCTCAGGAGGAGGAGTTTGAGACCTTTAATCTCAAGATCGTGCATAGAAAAAACAGGCATGTTTTACTTCTATTTCTGGTTCCTTTTCTTTTTTTTTTTTTTTGAACCAGGGGGGGGTGGGTAGGGTGTAGGCAGCAGAGGGGGATGATATTTATTAATTGGTTTACCATAAAAAAAATGTTGACTGGTGTAGAGTATACAATTGTTAGTGATTGTTTCCATGTGCATGGCCTCTTCTAGCAATCTCCTGCCTACACTAGAGGATTTCCAGCGTTACTTCTTGGTAACTTATGGTTCCTTTTTCTTTTTATGAATGGGGGTAGGGTGTAGGAAGCAAAGGGAAATGATGTTTATTAACTGGTTTACTATCAAAAGGAGAAAAAAATTGTCAACTGGTGTAAACTGTAGAGTACAAAATTGTTAATGATTTGTTTCTCTATCTGCATGGCCTCTTCTAGCAATATCCTGCCTACACTAAGGATGTCCAGTGTTACTTCTGGTTCATGTCCAAGTGATGGGCTTGTGATATTCCTCTCTGTTCTTTTGCTTTATCCTTGTTTCATGTTACCTGAATTTGTTCCATTTTATTCGGCAGAACGGGCTTTGAGGAGGATAAGAATTTTCATGTTGTTCTAAATTCAGTGATTGCTGGGCGTTATCATGTTACTGAGTATCTTGGATCAGCTGCATTTAGCAAAGCTATTCAAGCACATGATTTGCATACGGGCATGGATGTCTGTGTTAAAATTATAAAGAACAACAAAGATTTTTTTGATCAGAGCCTTGATGAAATAAAGCTTCTCAAATACGTCAACAAGCATGATCCTGCTGACAAATACCATATTCTGCGCTTGTATGATTACTTCTATTATCGAGTAAGTGAGTTTTTCCAGTATCTATTTTACCCTAATTTTTAAGTGTTTGAACTACATATTTTTTTTTGATGGGAAATGGTAGCTTTCATTAAATTAATGGAAATTTAGTACAGCTGTCACCTTCAAAGGCAAGGTGACCCCTCAAAATAAACATTTACAAACACACCCAGAAAAGATTTTCCCTACTAACTCCTTTCTTTGCTAAGTTATTGGCCATTGCATTGGCTGACCTCCTAGTCCATTTAAAATGTGCTCCATGCTCCCTTGTTAGTTACAATATTTCCCTTATAGGCTTTCTAAGGGACCAAGTGCTCAAACTGTTTGTTTGCATTCAATCTACTGCCATTTTTGAATCTCCTTCCACTTCTAACTGTTGAAAACCCAGTTGTTTAGCCAATCTAAGCCCCTGTAGCAGTGCCAAAACTTCTGCTCTAAGTGAGTCCCCCAAACCCCTATTGGGCCAGAGAACATGGCTAGGACTCTTCCTTTCCCATCTCTAAAACCACCCCTGATTCCAGAGGGGCCAGGATTTCCTACAGGGCTGCCGTCAAAGTTCAACTTCACACTGGAAAGCCATTCATGATAGTGTGTAGGAGTAAGTCTTGTGGTGGTGTGGGGCTTGGGAGTATCAGGAGAAGGAATATGACTCTGTTGAGGAAGTGGTTGTGGAGGTTCCCTATGGAGAAGGAGAAGCTATGGGCTAAAATAGTGGCAAGTATACATGGGCTGGAGGACAATGGATGGGACGTTGGAATCAGAGCTAGGACCACAAGCAACTCTCCTTRGAAAGCCATTCATGACCTGCTACTAGTTTTCTCCCCTAATATCAGGTATGACTTGAATTCCGGTAATTCCATAAAATTTTGGGAACAAACCTGGGTGGGGAGTGCCCCTTTAAAGGATCAATTTCCTTATTTGTATGCTCTATCTGATTTGAAAAATGAGCTGATCTCGTCTTTCATCACCCCGTCCTCTTCCACTTCTGGGATTGGGTGGAACTTGGGTTTAAGAAGGGATTTGAGGGACTCAGACCTTGACAGTATTTCGAGCCTTATTGCACTTCTTGATAATGTTGTCTTAGACCCCACTAGGGAGGACTCTAGAATTTGGACACCTACCCCCAATGGCATCTT